TTCAATGAGTCATATTATTTGTCCTTAATATTGTTATTCATCAATGAATTCTTGCTTGAGATCATCTAGTGTTTATTAAGTGCATGGCGCTATGTTATATGGCATGAACCCTTTCTACAAGTTGCTTGCAGTATTTTTAATGAACCATCTTATTTACATAAATTGTGAAGATTGCAAGATATTATGTGGAGATCCAGTCATACAAGTGTGCAGTGTAAACCTCAATTTTTTAGTTATATGATCATAAGATAAAAATCCCCTCCTAATTTTCCTAATAAACGAAAGTTAAAGAGTTTGGCACCCATTATCTGGGTTTAGTAGTTACTAACACTTTGACCTTCTCTATTTAATATTCCCCACCATTTTTTCCCCTTGAAGCTTATTAAAGCAACTAAAGCAAATAATAGATAATGTGTAATCTAATGTAAAAGTACTAAAAGATGAACCTCTGGTTTTTAATATGAACCCTCAGAAAGTCATAGTTCTTGCATAATATCCAGCCACATTCAGATTTTCTCTGTTGTTTTAGTATTTCTGTAAGGCTTGTGTGTTTTGAGACAGGTTCTTGTTAATTGCTTAATCTTGGCATTGTACTCATTGGATACTCCAAACTGGACTTGACTCGGTAATCCTGCCTCAACCTTCTGGGTGCTGGGATTACAGGCAGATACCATATACCTGGTGCCCACATGTTAAGTTTGACCTTAGTGTATCCTAAATTTTTTTTAACTTTCTGTTTGGAAGTGAGTTGATTTACAGATAAATTGTAAAAATATATACCCTTTGCCAGGCTTCCCCTAACAGTTTGAATAATTGTAGCAAAATTATCAAAACTTAAGATTTCAAACAGTACAATCCTATTAACTATACTACACACTTCAAATGTTTATGTCATCCTAATTTCCTTTCACTGAATGCCAGTGTCTTAATTTTTTCTCTTACGACTTTTGACAATTTTGAAGGATAGTGATCAGATTTCTGTGGACTGCTACTTGGTTCTGGTATTTGAATGTCTACATTCAGATTGTGTATTTTCGGCAAAAATGTTGTTCTCAGTGTATCATGTCTGCCATTAGTACTGATAGATTTTTGGTGAGGGGTGCTAACCATGATCATTTGGCTACTATAAAGTTACTGGCTTTTCTTGTGCTGTTTGTAAGTATTACGGACCACACACTTTTAGTTCTATTTTTTAATCAGATTTTATTAGTAAATTTTAGATATACATAATGATCACATTTATCGTAGAAAATTTGTACCTATACATGATATAACTTGTTTTTTTCCCCATTCCCCTACCTTCCCTCCACATTTGCAAAAGCTTGGATTCTGTGTTTTATTTTTTCCTATTCCCTTTTTTCTTTCTTTCTTTCCTGTTGCCCCCCACATTTGAACATTTTCTTCCTATTTCATGATACCTGTTTACCCATTTTGGTATGTACTTACCCTTTCAGTTTCTTATACCAGAGAAACAATGTGGTATTCGCACATTCGTCCAATTTGTTTCACTGAAGAGTGTGATATCAAGTTGCATCAATTTTCCTCGACTGCACTTTTAGATTAGGCATATATTCTGTTTCTTTTCAGACTTTTGCCTGCTAATCAGTTAAATATTCAATAGTAAATGAGCAATGCGTTTATATTTTGGTAGTCATTTTTTTGTTGTTGTTGTCTTGTTTTTCCATTGGTGCAATTCTTTTGTAAGGAACAGTTGTCTCTTCTCACTTCTTTATTTGTTCATTTATATATTTGTACCAGTATGGATTCATAGGTGTTCTGAATGTTACTCAGTGACACAGGAATTTATATTGTGACTCATTATTTGTTACTGGGCTTCTTTTAGATTGACTCCTTTGCCCCTTTTGTACTCCTTTCCCTCCCAAGTCCACTTTGAAACATACTCCTTTCCCTCCCAAGTCCACTTTGGAACATTACTTTATGGCACCATGAGATTGAGTAAATTTATGTTACATATTTTCTGGAATTGATCACTTCTCTCTAGATCTGGTTCCCTTCATAGTCTTAACACTTTGTGATTTTAAAAAGGAAAAGAAATGGTTCGCCTTTAGTATGTTAAATACTCTGGATTTATGTGATTCCTTGTGTCATTTAATTATGTCTATCCTCATAATCCAAAAACTTTAGCATTTTAAAATCACATGAGGAGCTTTTAAAAAGTCTAATCCAAAACACCCAAGTTTCATCCATATTAATTAAATTAGCATCTTCAAGGATGGAACCCCAGATCAGTGTTGTCTCACCCTACTTCTCCCTTCTCCTTTTCTCACCTCTTTTCCTCCATTCTTTCCCTCCCTTTTCTTTGTGGTCCTGAAGGTAAAACCCAGGACCTCGTAGATGCAGGTACTCTCCTAATGAACTACTTTTCAAGTTGGTGGTTTAAGACCTTTTTGGGTGTTTTCAGTGTGTAGCAATATTACAAAACATGTCTATGTGTCCAGTTCTTATCCTTTCTCTATAACATTAGGAAAATCTAGTATGGAGGCTTCTGTACAGTCAAGTTCAGCCTTTGTTGTTTTGTTATATATCTTGACTATTGGGTTCAGGTCTCTATTGACTTTAGTGCTCTTGACTTCCATTTGTTACTATTGCATTTCTAATTTGTTCTCTCAGTCCTCTTACTGACTAGTTTTATGTATTCCTAGGAATCAACTTGTGATTCTGTTTTTGTTACCTTGTGGCAGTATTCATGAATGTTACGTTTTGTATTGAAGACTAAAAAAGTCAACACCACCTTCTGGACAGGGCCCTTTTTGCTTAGGGCTCATTGATTCTTTTCTGTTACTCTCATGATTTACCACTTGACTATATAACTCTTATCTTTAAGGAAGCCAGGATGATTACTTAGAATAATACCAGCTGGAAAGTAAGTTTGGCCCTGCCTCTGAAGTCTATATGCCACTGTGCAAGTGACTAAATCTCATGAAATCTTACATACCCTGCATGTGAAATCGAAATAACTTTCTTTTGGGAGACTGATGCTGTAACTTATTGTACTTTCTAGTACTTTAGGGGAGTAGTGTCTGTAGCTGTCTAGCTGCACCATTCCAAAATCTGGGCACCATCCCCAGAGGTACTTGTTTGGTTTTTTTTTTTTGCTTCTCACATATCATTAGTCATTGAATCCTGTAAGTTTGTGTACTGAAATATTACTCAGTGATATTTATGTCTAAATAGATTTCAAGCCCTTATCTTCCCACCCTGGACTGAACCCAGGACTTGGTACAGAATAATTCTGCCATTGAGTACATCCCCACCTCTTTTTTTATTTAAGACAGGGTTTTGCTAAATTGCCTTGGCTATCCCATTTTGTTTTTCTCCTTAGTGCTAATTATTAAGCCTCTGTGCAATTATTTTCAACATTTGCTTTGCCCATTCTCCCCCTGAACCCCAGTCATCTCTAAAAAGAGTCATATCACTCTTTTTAGTAGCCTATCTTCTAGTTAGGCTATCTTTCTAATCTCATGTTGTTTCTCTTGTGAAATTGTTTTAAGCAACCTATTAAGATTTTGATGTGGTTTTCTAGTTGATCTTCAACCTTTCCTTTTCTTGTGAATCACTATAATGGGAATTACTAAAGAGAAATAGACAATAACTACTGTACAAATCTTCCTTTTCAATTTGATTGGATTTGTTGTCATAAACTTTGAGCCTTAAAGACAAAATTAATCTCTCCCACTATAGCTCTTAGTCCCCACCCCCCATTTCTATTTTGGTTGTATGTATTTGTTAACATACTGTGATGAGTCCTTTGAAGCAAGTACTACATTTTATTATTTTTGCAACTCTAGTGCCTAGATGGAAATGTTTTTTGATTTAAATGGGTGAAGTGTTATGGGTTCTAAGAGGTCAGTATTGTCTGGGATGTTGAAAAGTATTAAAGACACTTTGACAAGGTGAACCTGTGGCAAGGCAGTTGGAGCAGAGGAAACAATAATGGCCAACTTCCCACACTTGCTGATTTATATTTTAAATCCAGACATATTCCTCGTATTGTTAACTTGTTTAATTATCACTGCAACTTGTTATGGTAGGTGCAGTACTTTGTAAAAACAGAAACATAGAAAAGTTAAGTCATATAGTTTAGAACTATAGATCCTACCTAGTCACTGCTTTGTCTTACTGTCTTCCAGGGGACTTAGAGAGTAGAAAGAGCATAGACTGTCCAGTTAGGACAAGATGAGGGACAGTGTGCTACTTTAGGTTTCAAAGGACAGAGCTACTGTTTACATCCAAGATTCAGGATAATGGCTGAGGATAACAATTCTGTAATGTACATACGTACCACTTGGGGATTTTGTTAAAAAGCAGATTATAATTATGTAGGTCTGAGATGGGGCTTGTATTTCTAAAAAGTTATATTCATTTTGAATGAGATGGATTTGGGGGGTTAGGAATCAGGGATTTTATGGGGAACTTTTTTAATGCAGAAATTAAAAGAAGTCATGTATCTGTAGTGAGGTTCATAATTACAAAACTGCTGGGAGATAAGAGATTTTGAACCCATGGAGTCTACACATTGTTTCTGTATTAGAATTGCCTATGTATACAATCTGTTGTCAGACTGTGCTCAAACTAATAAGAATATCAAACTAATAAGAATGCAACCTTATATTAAGTGCAAAAGAAGTCTCCAAGTAATTGGAATGCTCAACCAAGAGTCACTAATCATAGATTAATGTATTAAATTTTTTGGAGACAAGGCATGTGTCTATTGAATAACTATTGCATCATCATAATTCCTATGAATTAAAAATACCTTAAGAGTACCACATAGACATTGCTTGAAAGTGAAATAAATGGGATTATTACCATTGTATTTTGGAAAAAGCCTGTGGTATTGGTGGTAGGTAAATGTTTAGCTTGGAAGGAAGGAGTAAGAATTGAAATGTAATTAATGCTTTTTTTTTTCTGCCCTGTTGAGAGTGTTCTGTAAAATCTTATTGTGCTTTCTTAACACAGTTTACTTCTGTCTTCAACAGGGACTTTTTGCCAGGTGGTCGGAGAGATTATACAGTTCAAGTTCAGCTGAGGTGAGTTTGAAATCTAGTTACTGTAATTTTGTACTTGGTAACTGTTCATATAGCCTTGACTTTTAAAACATAATGTTTGGGTATACTATTTAATACTTTTCCTCCTTCTTTTTTTAATGCAGACTTTGCCTGGCAGAGACTAGTTGTCCTCAAGAAGATAACTATCCTAATAGTCTATGTATAAAAGTAAATGGGAAGTTGTTTCCTTTGCCTGTAAGTTACTTTTTATCATCAGATTTTTATTAAGTTTGAATATAAAAACCAACAAAGTCTAGAAGCAATGACAGCTCAATACAAATGACTAGTTGTAGCATCCATATTAAGTACTGTTTTCTCCTAAGGAGCCTGTGGTTCCTTAGAGAAATAAATGGTTGGTTCCAGATTTGAGGAGTTAAAGGGTAAGCTTAGAACCTCTTGTTCTATAATTCATAGAAGCTCTAAAAGATCCTTGGAATCCTAACAAATGGCAGAACTTGGCTTATGAATGTATAGTGTGTTATGTTGGGTATCTAGATGAGTTGGAACTGTGGAAAGCAGAAACTTTTGAGAACAGCTGGCCATAGGGATCTACAGTTTCAGGTTTAAGCCTTGATGGTGCACAGAGTAGGAGCCAGGAGACCCAATGGTATTTGATTAATGACTTATTATTTGACAAGTAAAGCAGTATGTGGACTTTGATACCTCAGATACATACAATGTGAATGTATATAGCCTATTTCTGGCCTGATAGGTAGCCCTGGAATCTGCAAATCCTAGGTCAAGTCTTAGGACATTTAAATTACTGAGTATTACTTTTCATTGATTCCTTCAGTGTGTTGCTACATTGGTAGTTGTACAGAAGGCCAACAAAGTCATTAAAAAACAACCTTTGCTGTTTGTCAAGCACTAGAGTTTGGGGTATATAGAAGCATTCTAGAACAGTGACCCTACAAATGTATCGAGCAGTGATTTCAGCAAAACTATATTGAGGAGATGCGGGAAATTGTGTAGTATCCTTTCCTAGCATGAGATTTGGCTCTGGAATGACTCTGCAGACAAAACCTCTGAGCACCCAGGGAAGCTATACAACATAATCTGGCACCCTGAATCCTACCCGAGCCAAGTGTTCATAATTGAGCCTCAAAGAGAAGACATGGTTCAGGCTGATGAAGGGAATCTTGATTTTTTTTTTTTTTTTAAGTGATTGGGAGTATTGTTTGTGTTGTCATAGCCTGTGGGCTTAGAGACTTGAGAAATGTTTGTACCATGAATTTTATAGAGTTTAAGCATCATTGATTGACTTTTGAAGATGCCTATAGGACTGAAGTTAATTGAGATTACTAGGAATCAAAGGGAATCTAAATGTAGAGCCTTAGTAGATATAGATAGAGAGAATTAATTACATGATCCCATATGTGTTTGAAAACCAGGTAAGACATTTGCTTCTTCAGTTTCTGGCTTCCAGTAATAGATTCTCAGGGGCTGTCTTATCTAAATGAGTATCACTAAGGTCTGAACCAAGCAGTTCTATTTGAATCTGAAGGATTCTGGTTTGTGGTCAGATGTGTGGCAAAGAAGGCTGGAAGAATCATAGATTATAGAATGATCCTCTGCATATTTTCTATGATCCTTTCATATCCATTTTTCTCTGCCTAGGATGTGATAAAATTCCTTTATCTTTGACTCTAATTCCTATTTACTTTTCCTACTATCCTTGAAGAAAGACATAATTATAGAATCGTTATTAATGTCTGTAGACTCAGCCCTGAAGATATATCCATATCATCTGTGATGCTGTGTCTGAAATGTATGTATGAAATCCATGTGTGTGAGTCTTCCTAAACTCTTTGGAATTGCTCCAGATATAGAGAAGCTGCATCTGTGTATACATAGAAGTTCCATAGAATTTCCAGGGAGACTAGTCAGTGTCTGTCATGTTTTGGATTGGTTTCTTCTTCACAGATAAGGTCTGCAACACCACTGTAGAACTCAAATTTTTTAAGTTTCTCACTCTTTTTGTCCTTCTAACAAAAAATGAGACCACTGAACATTTCATCTGAATATTTCCTTGTTACTCAGTTAATCATGTTTGTTTCTCCTCCAAAGCACCAACTGGCTTTGAATCACTTACAGTAAGATGTTAGTGAATATACCAACCACTATATAAAGTACCCTTTGTTATTTCTGGCATTCATCTTTCAATGCAAAGGCATTTGCAGAGGAGAAAGAAAGAGCATTGAGAGAAAAGTAAAGACATGCATGCTACGTTAAAAGCAGGAGAGTACGGAGAGGACTTAGGACTATCCTAAAGAAAATTAAATGCCATCTTTTCCTGAAGAGGGTTTTCACATCAGCAGCATGAGCACCTGTGAAACAACTGACATAAATTTACATGGAACTGACTGAAAATTCTTAGACCATTCCTGATCTACAGTTCATAATTTCTGAGGAAAGAAACGTAGAATTTTTATTAGCATGAAACATGATTCTAAGTTTATGAGAATAATGTAAATATCAGCAGCCTTGAAGAAGAGAGCTACAGTAACATTATAGGAGTTAAATTGAGCTTTTATGCTTAAGTGATCTTGTTCCAAATGTTAGTACCAACAGGTCATTAAAAAGATTTGCATGTGGTTGTTACCTGTGGTCCTGGTTTATTGAAGAACAATTTGTGGAGAGAACTTTACCTGGTTGTGGAATTTTCCATATGAGTTCTGAATATATTTGAATTATCTGTGTCCCATTCAAAGTCTGTATATGTACAACCTTATAATATCCAGTCATGGATCCATGGCAATTGGACACTATGCGGCATATAAGAAGTAAATGGAATGGTAAATACTACTTTGAAAATAGTATGTTTCTGGACTCCTAAACATGAAATAGCATTAAAAACACCTTATTTTTCTTTTTTACCCACTTTGAAATGATGAGCTTTACAAAATGCTTGCATTGATTTTTCCAGGTCCCTTGATGTGGAGAAGATAGTAGCTCATAGAGTGATGGCCTATAGCATGAACGGACAAAAAACTGCCTTAAGAACATCTCCCTACCCCTTATCTTAGATTCCCTGACCTGCCACTGTACAGACCAATAGTCAGATGATAAAAGTAAATGGTTTTATGGTCAGAAGAGGAGGAAAATGCTTCTTTTAGTCTCTGAATTATTTTTTCTTTTTAAAACGGTACTGGGAAATTTCTGTAAAACCTGTGGGGCTGTAAGATTGAACAGGGAAGAAGAGTTGATGTGTGATACAGTTTAGCTGGCAAAAAAAAAAAAAAAATCCCCAGGGTAAAAAAATCCCCATGTAATTTTTCTTGGTGTAGCTAGATGATCTGTCAGTACTGACTTCATCTTCCTAATAAATTCTGAGTTCATGAATTTTATTTCTTGGTGCTCTCACTACAGAAATCTGCCTCAGCAAATCTGGATTGAAGTGAACTCAACATTTTCTTTTTTTAAAAAATAGCACTCCAAATAAAAGGGGCTCTCCTTAAACGCAAGATGAGATAATTTTGATATCTAAAATAACTACAGTGGATTTAAACTGTCAAATGTGTAAATGGGTTTATAATTTGCCAAAATCACTAGAATACCAGCTCATTTTGAAAATTGATGAGAGAATCATTCCTTTTATAATGGCTGGAGATGTGGCCCACTGGTATAGAATGCTTGCCTACATAATAACAATCCTCAGTACCACAACAAACAAGCAAAAAAAAAAAAAAAAATAGCATATCATTTTCTAGTAAACAGACGCTGATGTCATCAAGTTCTTACTTATGGAAACATTCGATCCCTGGTAACCCCCCCATCCCAAATTCTGTAATCCATAATCATATAATTGATCTCATTATATGTACATGTTAAAGTCATTAAGTCAGAGCTGGCTTTAATAGTTGAAGGAACCAAGCTGATACCTACTAAAATGATCAGGCTTGAGATCACTGAAAACAGGGCAAATAACCTTCATATGTGATATGGTCCCATAGAAAGTATGCAGCATTCCTTAGGAATTATTTTTGTCTGAAATTTGACTATAATTTAGTCAGCTTTGTACAGTTAATTACCAGTTTAAAATCTTCATGGAAAATGACAAGAAATTTCATATCATGAGGAAGAAATCTACCTAATTCAGAATATGTGGTCACTCTTCATGTCAAAACATCAAAAATATGCATGTAGGGGAGTGGGGGAAATGTTTATAGAATAATCAGACATAAGTGCAGTGTGAGGCTGTTTCAATTCTAAATCAAACTGAAAGGATATTTTATGTATCAACTACACATGAAAATATGCCTGGGATTTGCTTTAAAATACAGTATAAACTTAATTTGCTTTTTAAGTTTGGAGAAGATGGCTGCATTTGTGTTTGTGTGGGGAAAATGGCCAAGGTTATGTTTGTCACCTGATGTGGATTTGCAGATGGAAGCAAAATTTTGTTAAATGTTTTGTTGTGAACCAAATGGTTTGTAAACAAACTTTCATGAACTATGGTATTAACAGTAACACAGGATGGAGGTGGAATAGAGTGGTAAAAATTGTTCATGACTAATGTATTGAACTGTATGGGAGTTCATTTTGCTTTTTCATCTTTTATATGTCAAGTTACGGTATTATGATTTGAAAGTTGTTAGAGATGTATATTAAAATATCAGTTGAGTGATATGTTTAGAATTTGTGCTTAATAAAGAGAAAAAGTAATTGAGTGATACAGTATGTTTGTGACAGATGGCACCTGGGTATAGAGGTAAATGAAATAAGAAAAGAAATATGTTAATTACTGAAGTTGTTTGGCAAATGCCTTCCATTCTCTCTACTTTTTTTTTTTTTAATTGGTAGCGGGGATCGAACTCATGACCATGCGCTTGCAAGGCAGGCACTTATGCCGCTGTGCTACATCCCCAGCCCTCTCTTTAGTTTTGTTTACAAGAGGTGATCAAACTATAGAATGAATTTTAAAAAAATTGTGTGAAAAATATTCATTGTAAAAGTCACATTGCTGTTAATACCTTTCAGACATCAGCCCTCACTTCAAACATATCCCATTATTCTTGCCACTTTTTGAAGCATTTCTGGAAGTACAGTTTCATGAATGCTTTTGCAAGTTGTGATTAAAATCACAGTGATTGCTGCTGTTGAGTGCTTGCAGAAGAAAGGCTAACAACATTATGGTATGTCTTCATCTACCTTATTCACTGGGTCTGGCACTTCCGGCTCTTCCCTAAAGTCAA